TAGTCCAATATTGCGACTGACCCTCCCAATGTCCAGGATCCCTGTCCCCCTGTTGGCAACAGCAAGCAGAACCTTCTGGGTAAGGTCAAATGCAGTTGGCATCTCTGGCACCTGTCCTGCCCCGGCACACAGACCCCTGGACACAGAGCTGTCGGCGTGGCTGGCGTGCCAGGAGGAGCTTCCCATCTCTCACTCTTTCTAAGAAAGAATCAGTGGAGAGGGCCAGGCCTCAGAGACCAGTTGGGAGGCCTGGTGACCTCCTGAGGTCATTGCTTCCAGCTCCCTTCCACCCGGCCTTCACTCTGAGCTCCATTCGCACCGTGTCCCAGGCTTCTTGGGGAGGGCCAGAGCTGAGAGGGGCTGGCCCCGGTGAAGAACAAGCCTCCTCTGTCCTCTGGCTTCCTCCCTCCGTTGCTTCTGACTCCCTGGCTGGCCGGCACGTGCTGCGTGCGTGGGGGCCCTCGCAGCTCAGCGCAGGTGGGGGTGGCTTGGTCTTCGGGGACCCGCTGGGGCTCGCGGGCCTCTTGCAGCACAATTGGGTCACCCTGGTATCAGCTCAAATGCCCCTCTCCTCCTGCTGCTGTGAGCGTGCAGGGCTCTACCTCCCAGTCCACCAGTCACCCTGTATTTACGAGTACCTACTATGTGCTGGAATGTGAGGGACACTGAAAAGGCCGTAAGTAGGGAAAGGCTTGTTTGCAGACTGATGAGGCCAGAGTGGTAGGAGCTAGGTTAGGGGAGAGGAGTGTGTGTGTGTGTGTGTGTGTGTGTGTGTGTGTGTGTGGAGGGGGTTGAGGTCAAAGGGGTCCTGACCTGATGGGGGGGCCTCCAGGTCAGGGAAGTTGGGGTTTCCTTCTACAGGGAAGAAGAGCCCCTGGGGGCTCTGAGCAGGACACCGCAGGAACTGCTTTTTTAATTCCTGTCACAAAGGAGACATTGTCCTAGGAGAGGATCCCTCTGGTTGCCTGGGGACAATCACAGCTGGGGGAGTGAGGTTGAGGAGGGGGTCCAGGGAGGAGCCACTTGGCTCAGAGGGGGACCCCGAGTGGTGGCAAGTGGCATTCAGGGTGCGTTTGGAAACTTGAAGCTGACAGGGGTGCCTGCTTGGGGGCTGTGGGGACCGTGGAGGAAAGAACAGTGTCCAGGAAACTATGGGGTTTCTGCTCTGAGTACCAGGAGGATTGGGGGGCTTTCTAAACGGGGATGTGGAGAAGGAGCAGATCTGGGGGAGCAGATGCTACGCTCAGGTCAAGGTGTGCTGAAGGCAGGTGGAGCAGGGAAGCCACCGCTGCCACCTCCCACTGCCTGTGTCCTGGTTCCCATCCTGGCCTCGGTGCAGCCTGAGAGCTGTCCAACTGTCCTCACACCTCTCCCGTCCCAGCCTCTTCCACACCTATCGAGTTAGTCTTAAGAAGCAAAACTCGAGATCCTGCCTCTAATCTGCTCTAGAACCATCGATGGCTCCCTACTGGCACCTGGGTAAAGTCCAAGTGCCTCAGCTGGGTTAGCTCAGCCCTGCACGGTCCACCCCAGGTGCCCTCTGCAGGCTCGGCCCCCAGGTGTCCAACCGAGCAGATGGCCTTTGCTTCCTCAAACATGCCCTGTCCCTTCCCGCCTCTTCAGCCTCACACCTGCCACTCCTGCCAGCTGAATGCCCTTTCTCACCCCACCTCAGGGATGTATTTAAAGGCCTTGTCTCTAATGTCTGTAGCCTTTTGTTTGTTTCTTTCTCCCAGGACATAACACACGGCGCTTTGAATTACACTTATTTATATCTTTCCCTCCTCCCAGAGGGCAGAAAGGTGCCAGCTTCATTTCTGGGCTCATTGCCAGGCTAAAGCAGGTCCTCGTTAGAGTCAGTGAGTGAACTGTTGAAGACGTTGTATTTGCGATGGTCTGGGCCCACCCATCAACCTTCCCCTTTTCTGGAGAATATACTGTGATTTTCCCCTGGGATGTCACCACTCCCTCAGTCCACATGGATCCAGTGTGACCCCATCATCAGGGGCAGACTATGGCCCAGGCCTGGTCAATCAGAACAATCCAGGCCCCTGGATAAATAGATTGGTTCAGGGATGGGGACATGATCCAATCTAAGCCAAAAGAACTCAATTCTTTGGCGCAAAAGAGAAGATAGTATTGTCTCGAAGTGGCTGAGCTAGTTGGGTGCCACCCTGGAGCAGCTGTGGCCATTGTGTCTGAACATGTAGCCAACACAGGGCAAAAGGGGTGGAGACAGCTGAATCCTTAAAAACACCATGGATGCGCCTGGATCAAGCCATGTCTGAAGCAGGAAGAGGCCTGAACTTTTCAGTTATAGAAGCCAATACATTTCTCTCTCTCATTCACCCCGGGCTTTCCAACCTGAGCACAAAGAGCACCTTTTCTGTGAGGTGCCCTAGCCAGGAGTCCTTCCTCCAGAATTACTTAGGAGAGGGTTTCTCAGCCTCGGTACTCCAGGCACCAGGGAGATGGTTCTTTGCTGTGGGGACTAATCTGTGTGCTGCAGATAGTTTACCATCATCCCTGCTTCTCATCTCATGAGATGCAAACAGCACACCCTGTCCTGAGTTGTGACAACCCCAGACATCTCCAGACATTGCCAAGTGTCCCCTGCAGGACAAAATCACCCAAATGTGGGCGAAGTGCTTTGCATGGAGCCTTCCACATAGCAAGTGCTCAGTGCATCCCAACCACAACAACGTGACAATACCGGTGAGAGGATTATGGTTTAGGAAAGCCAAGTGTCTCAGCGATAGTCAGATCTGGCTCACTTAAGCCCGCAGGGAATTTATTGGAGGACTAGGGTGAACTTACAGAGGCAAGGGAATAATCAGGTCAAAAAAGCACAGAAATGGAGGCATTTCAGGGTTCCCAAGAGCAGGAGGTATATATGTGGATAGCAGTAATGAATTCTTCCTGTTTCAGCTGCATCTCCCACTTTCCTCCCTAATGAACCCCCTTTTACTCAGGCACACCCCACTCCATCCCAGGGACTCAGGGAAATTGGACTTCAGCCAAGTCCCAAGGGATGGGTTATAATTGCTCTAGGCCAATCACTGTGGCTTCTTTCCCTTCCCCGGCCAGTGACTGGCTTAGTCTATGGACAGACAACAATTCTAGCCAATGACGCATTTTGGGAAATATGCTGGGGGCTTCTGGGAAGTGTTTCCTTGCTCTTCAAAAGAGAGTGGGGCTTATTTCACTTAGCATAATTCAGTATTTCTTTCCCTTTTAAGGTTGAGTAATGCTCTGCTGTCTGTCCACACCATGCTCTATACCCATCCATCCGTACGCGGACATTTAGGTTGCTTCCACGTCTTGGCTGTTGTGACTAATGCTGCAGTGAGCAGGGAGGACAGATGCTCCTTTCAGGTCCTGAAGTCAGCATTCTTTGGGGTGAATACTCAGAAGTGGGGTTACTGGGTCATCATACTAAGTCAAATAAGCAGTCACAGGAGGACAAATGTCATCTGAGTCCACTTACATGAAATCTCTGCAGTGAAGCTCAGAATCTGAGAACAAAATGCTAGTCGCCTGGGCATGTGGCCAGGAAAGGGGGCACTGCTGTTCAAGGGGTACAGTGTTTGAGTTACTCAAGGTGAATCAAGTCCTAGAGAGCTGCCATACAAAATCATGTCCACAGTTAGCAATAGTGTTTCGTACGCCTGAAATTTGGTAAAAGGATAGTGCTTATATTAAATTCTCTCAGTATAATAAAAAAGGAGCATTATAAAGTAACATTGTGTAGAAATTACACATAAAAGTTCTTAGATAATGATGAAAAAAGGAGTAAATTTTTCTTCCCCTAGCATTGTGAGAGAGAGATTGTGATGTTTGGAGCGGTGGCAACCAATTAGAGTGAATGAGGAGAGCCAGTTGGAGGGCAAAGCCCCAGTCCCAGGACCTGGATGCTTGCTGATGTCACTGAGCCGTTGAATTAATCAATACCTCATTCTCCATCACTTCCACACTTATGGTATATGAGATGATAAATTTCTTTATTTAAAAAGTCTCTTCGGGTTGGGTTGTTATTCTTTGCAACTGAGAACAGTGGACCAATATACCAAATCCCATGGATACGTTTTTGCTGCTAAATTGCCCTTGGCTTTCCCACTGCCTTCAAAGTGCTGCAGAGGGACTCCTGCTCACTGCCGGGGAGGTTGTCCGTCTGGGACTGGTTCTGTGGTCTGGAGACGGTCTCGTGTCTTCGGCTGGAGGACCCCCAGGAGACTACATCCCAGATCCTCGATGGAGCTCAGATCTTACTTCTCTGGGCCTTGGTTTCCCCATCTGAGAACTAGGGATGGCAAGGGGCCCACCTAGTCACAGGTGATGTGAAAATGATACGAATTACTTCCGTCAAGATACGGGTCCAGCGCCAGGCGCAGGCTCGGCAAAGTGAGCTGGACCTTGTTCTCACTGATTGGAGAGACGGATGAAGGAACTTGGGCTGGTCCAGAGTGTGTGGCAGGTGCAAAATAAGGCTGGCAGCCTGGAGAGAAGAGACTGGGAGTGTCGGGAAGGATGGGGAAGGGAGTAAAGGATTCAACCAGAGCGGGCCACGAAGCTGAAGGAGAAGCAAGTGGCCCTGAGAATCTCCCAAGGCATGGGGGAGGTGCCAGAGCCCCCATCTTGAGAGGAAAGTGCCTTTCTCCTCCAAAAGAATCAGGTCTCAGGAAGGCGGGAGTTCTGTGGGATCCACAGTTAAGCCAGAAACACCCAGGTCCAGTTCACACCGCCTCTTTCTGAGGTTGGGGATCCTCCCCGTTTGCCAGTGCTCCCAGCATTCAGGCCTGGGCCTTCCTGCCTCACCTGGCTGGGCTCTTCAGTATCTTCCCAGTGAGCCCGTCTGGCCCCGGCCCGTGCCTGACACCCTGGCCTATCGGAGGGGCTCGCCGTGCCGGAAGAATTGAGCAACTCCAGCTCGTGCAAACCTCTGTTCCTTCACTTCCCCTCACGCTCATCGACTGGTTGATTCCTTGTCATTTCTCAGGGGACGCTGTGACCCTTCCTGTGAACCCTCCTGGTGCAGCCTGGAACCTGAGTCACCCTGAGGTAGCACCTCTTGTCCTGGGAGCCCTGGTTCCCGAGCAGACAGGAAGGACGACGGTGGTGCTGGTGGTGGCCCTTCGTCATACAACCCCCGCATGGCTCTCTGGGACACTACCAGGCTCATCCCCAGAGAAGGTGAGTCACGAGCTACTCAGTGAAGGAGCCACAGTGTGAGCCTAACGTGTAGTTTGAAACCCGGTCGAGAAATTCAATCATGTTTAGTTAGACGTTTACCAAACCCCTTTGCAGGGACAAAGAAGGTGGAATAAATTTTTGGACAGATGTGCCCCTTCTCTGAAAGGCTGTTTCCTCATCTGGAAATGGGAGCAGCGAGTCCTCCCAGGGTCAGGCATCTGTGTGGGGACTGAGGGAGGGCAACTGTGCTGTTCACCTCCACAGCCACAGGCCCTTAAGGATGTTTCGGTTGAGACCAGGCCACCTGTGTGACGCCGGCCCTGTGTCCAGCCGGGTGGGCAGCAGACCGCACCATTTAGGTGTGTAATTCCACTCCGTGATGTTTGCACAACGAGGAAGTCACCTAACAGGCGTTTCTCAGAACGTATCCCCGTCATTAAGCCCCGTGACTTGAGGGAAGATGATTCTAGAAAGGCCAAATGATGAAAGTTTGTCATCTTTACAAACCACATCTGGGCTCAAGCAAGCGTCACATACCTCACTGGCAAAGAAGCCCCTAGTCCTTTCAACCAGAGAGGCAGTGGGGTGAAGACTTGCTGACCGGGGGCAGGCCATGACTCTGCTTCCTTGGGCAATGCACCCCTCTCCTGCCAGAAAGCCATTGTCCCCAAGAGAAGCCAGAAATGCAGCTTTTAAAATGCTTGTGGCTGATGAAGAGAAAGCTCTGACCGGCTCCCTCACACCTTGGGACAGTTACTGTCACAAAGATAGACGGTTGCAAGTGTTGACAAGGATGTGGGGCAGCTGGGGCCCTCATCCCCGCTGGCAAGTTGTAAATGGCAGCCACTTTGGAAAACAGTCTGCAGCTGCCTGAAAGGTTGAACAGAGTCACCCTGGGACCCAGCAATTCTGCTCTTCGGTGCTGACCGAGAGAATGGGGAACCTGTGCCCCACGGCAGCCGGCAGCCAATGTTCACGTAGCATTGTTCATAACAACACAGATGTCCAGCAGCTGAAGGATGGATAAAGAAAACGCAGGGTACGGTGGGGTCCTGATTAGCAATGACGGAGTGAAGGGTGGATTTGTGCTAGCATGGCTGGACCTCGAAGACCTGCTGGGTGGGAGAGTCAGACACCAAAGGGTGGATGATCCCATCAACGCTAAAAATCCAGAATAGACACATCTGTACAAACAGAAAGGAGCTTAACACGTGCCAGGGGTTGGGGTGAGGGACATGGGCTGTGGCTGCTGGTGGGCACAGGGCAAAACAGGTGGTGACGGTTGCACCTCTCTACAAAGGCACTTTGTGTTGTACACTTTGAAGGCAGAGGTGTGACTGGCCCAGCAAAGCTGTTAAAATAAAAAAGCACCTGACAGAACTCAGCTGGTCGGAGGCCCCTGCAGGCCAAGCTTTCCTCAGATGAATGTGGCCATGCTCGTATCTGGGGTGTGTGGGGTTGTCCGAGGCTGAGTTTCCCCCAAGGGGAAATGCCCTGGGGTTGGGGAGTTAATCCCCACACTTCCCTTTTTGCTGCTTTTAAAAACAAACAATTCAGTGCAAGCAGAGGAACGTTCTGCTCATTCTGCTCACAGAGGAACGTTCTGCTCTTTCTGCTTGTAGCTTCCAGCTCCCCAGGAGAAGGAAATGGTGCAGGGAGGGCCTGTGGTTTGGGTCAGCTCCAGGGTCCCCAACTCAGGCCTGGCATCCTCTCTGGTGCCCTGTGTGAAGGTTCTGGAGTCTTGTGCATGTGTGTGGTGGAGTAGAAGCTGTTGTCCTGCCCTTCCTTCTCCCTGCCTCACCTGTGGGTGAAATGAAGACAGAGAAACCTTGTGAGGCCTTCCTGCCTCCCTGGCTGGGCTGTGGGGGTGCAGAGAGAGGAGGCTGGACTGTGGGGGTGCAGAGAGAGGAGGCTGGGCCAGCGGCACACTGAGCTCCTCTCTCTGACCCTCTGGGCCCTCCATGGTCAGGTCAGGACTGTGGTGTTAGGGAAGGCACCAAGAGCCCCAGGAGGAAGTTTGGGCCTTTTGTGGGGGCAAGACAGGGAGCCTTAAAGTCAGGGTGGTGGAGAGAAGACGGGTTGGGGGAGACCAGGAGCAGCTGTAAAAATTCTTGTGTCTCCTGACAGGAGATGTGACAGGGCAGAGGCTGACCTGCATTCTGAGCTGGATTTATGACTGGCCTATATTCCTTCATTCATTGACCACCTACTGTGTGCTAGGCTGGGGGGAGACTGGTCTCCATGCCGGTGGAGTTGAAGTTCTAGCGGGAGAGACGGTGGGTCAGGAAGTAAATTGACCAGCACGGTGGGCCAGGGGAGAGCATCTTGAGGACGGCAGAGCAGGGCCGGAGCTGAGTGACCTGGGGACGGTGTTTTAGACAGGGTGGTCAGGGACAGCCTCTCTGGGGGCGACATTTCAGATGAGACTTGAGTGAAGTCATCTCCCATCAGAGGAAGCCCAAGTGGCAGCTGCTGTGAGAAAATTGACTTTTCTCTGAGTTGGTGGGAGCTGTGGAGGGTTCTGAGCAGCAGAGGCCCTGATCCCCTCCAGGTTTTAATGAGATTCCTCTGGCCCCAGAGTCTATGGGGTGGGGTAGGGGCAGAAGCAGGGGAACCTGGCAGGAGGCCGCTGCAGTGGTCCAGACAGGAGAGGGAGTGGCTGGCTGAGAGCAGGGCCCAGAAGGTGGGAAGAAGATGTTGCTGTTTTTTCTCCTTTTACCATGCACCTTCTGTCCAGAGAGACAGGGCCATGAAACAAAGCAGATTGTACTCACACACGAGGTGAACACACACGCACGCACACGCAAGCACACACACGCACACTGTACATGCGCATAGGCGATTCTATATATACACACACTTTACAGACACATAGATTCCACACATATATAGACTTGAACAGGTGACCCTTGAATAATATAGGGGGGGAAACTCCCTTGAAGTGGAAAATCCAGGTGTAACTTTGACCCTACTTTCCTCCCAGCCTGCTGTTGACCAGAAACCTTACTGATAACATCAACGGTTGGGGAATACATATGTGTGTTGGATGCATCATCCACTGCGCTCTTACAACGAAGTAAGTTAGAGAGAAGACAATGGTAGGATCCTCATAAAGGTCTTCATCCTTGTCTTATGTTGTGTGGACTGAGGAAGCAGCACAAGAGAAGGGATTGACAAAAATCCCTGCATAAGTGGACCCACATGCTGTTCAAACTCGTGTTGTTCAAGGATCAGCTGTCTTCTGCATACACACAGGTCCTGTACATGCACATACATGTGCTGCCTTCACACAGTTCTGTGTGCTCTGACACCCGCATGCCATAGTCACACAGTTCTACACACACAGCACGCACAGATAGCTCATACCTGCATTACGCACACAAATAGAGCTTTCACACCTGTATTATTAACCAAGTTGACTTTGCATGCTCACATCCAGGGTCAGCGTGTCTTGCATCCCAAAGGGGCTCAGCACTGGTGCTAGGGAGTGCCGACCCTGCCGTGTGACTCAGGTCTCGCTTCTCTGACCCTCCTTTTCCTCAGCTTTAAAATGTGGATGACAATCCTGCCTTGCAGGATTGTCAGGAGGACTGGATGAGATCACCATGTATGCAAAGCAGCTGGCCTGGCATAGGAGCCAGGGCTATTTATTAATAGTCACCACACTAATAATGAAGTCTGTTTTGGGGCCAAGCAAACCCCACAGAGCACCTTCCTGGAACAAGGGTGTGCATACACACCCGCACGCCCACTCTCCCGCTTGGGTACGTGGGAAAGGGGCAGACTCGGGGCTCTGTGTGGACTGGCTGGACCAAGATCTACAGTGGAAACCTGTGAGTCAGCGACAGGCATAAAACAGTTAATGGGCGTGCCGCCGCAGCTACGGTAATGATGGAGAGATAGAAGCTTAGATAATGTCCAGGAGGCAGGTGGATTAGTCAGGGCTCCTCAGTTGCAAGGGACAGAAACCCTACTCAAACCGGTTTAAGCAAAAGAGAATTTATTGGGTCATGTAAAAACACACACACACACACACACACAAAACAAAAATCCAGGGGTGGGCTTGCTTCAGGCATAGCTGAATCCAGGTGCTTGAATGATATCATCAGTTTTCCATTTCTCTCTAGAAGATTAATTGAGTTAATTAGTATATGTGAAGCACTAAGCAGCACGCAACACACCTAATATTCTATAAGTATTAGTTATTTTGTTACTACTACTGCTGCTACTACTACAATACAGCTGCTGCTATTGTTACCCATCTAGCCCCACAACCCATAGGACTGACTCTCATTGGCTTAGTTTGGGTTGTGTGACCCAAATCTTGAGGCCTGTGGCCAGGTTTTCTGACCATCAGACTCTTGACAGGTTGATGTGACCATCCTGGGGGCTGGTGAAGAGGAGTTGGAAATGGGGGGCTGGGCAGGCATATGAAGGCCCTGGTCTTTGCCGGTGCCAGCCTCCTCTTGCAGAAGGCCCTTGAGTTCAGTTGCTGTATGCCTTCCGTCACTGTAGATTCCTCCAGGGTAACCTTCTTTGCACAAGGGTGGCAACTAGAATTGGATAGACATGGATTTGATGCGCAGTTTCTTTGCTTAGTCAGCTCTACCTCCCTGCCACAGTGAAATGGGGCAATCATCAAACCTCCTTCATTTGACATGTTTCTTATAAAACATTGTCTGACATTTAATGGGTATTAACCGATTTGACCCCCACCATCCTGGGAATTGAAGTATGATCATCTCATTTTTACAGACAGCCACAGAGACACCAGCTTCTGGACAGGAGTGGCAGAGGGAGATCTGAACCTGGCAGCTGCCTTTGGAGCCCCAGAACCGTGGACTCGGAGCTACAGCTACACGGCAGAGACTTTGTATGTGGAGGCTGACCCTGGCAAGGTAGGTCCCCCTTCACTTGCTTCCATGTTTCTCATGTGTGAAATGCGATAAAGAGAATGGCAGCTAAAAGGAAGCAAAGTGACAGAGACCTTGGTTTATTTAACAAATACTTCTTGAGTGTGTACCATGTGCTGGCACCGAGCAAGGTGTTGGGGGGCAGTAGGGAATGCGACAAACTCCCTGTCTCTGGGAGTTGACTTTCCAGTGCTGATCAGGCAAAAGATGAGTCAACAAGGAATCTAGAAGATTTTGCATGGTGAGTGCAATGGAGAAAATAAAATGGTGACGGCATAGTGACAGGATGGTAGAGAGGCCTCGGGGAAGAAGCTGTGTCTTGGGGAGGAGAAGGGACCTGCCTGGGAAGATCTGGCAGGAGAAGCACCTTCCAGACAGGGAAAACATCAAGTGCAAAGGCCCTGAGGTCGAAGCTTGTGGGACATATTTGGGTCAGATCCTGTTCTTGCAGAGGGCTGGGAAATCAGTGCAAAATGAGGGAGGGACAGAGCCATGGAGCCAGGGCCACGAAGCCGAAGCAAACAGATGTAGAGCTGGGATGTGTGAGAACACCCCGGGGCCGACTCTCTGCAGGCTCTGTGTCCCCACACCCTGGCTGGCTCTTCCAGGCCGCTCAAGGGGCAGCCTGCCCGTCCCAAACCGTCCCAGCTCTTGTGGGGGCTACTGCTGTCCTTGTTCCCTTGTTTAATTACAAACAGCATTTTTTGCCCTCACTTAATTATGCAACAGATGCCCATGGATCTGCCACCATCTGGTCCCACTTCCTGGCTTGGGATGATGGGGCCCAGGGACTGTCTTTAGGGGCTAAGGGGAGTCTCTTGGTTGGGTGGGTGTCAGGCCAGGCATGCCTTGGCATGTGGCTGTACCTGGCCCTGTCTCCGGGAGAGCAGTTAAGGGTGGGTGGCGCTATTGAGACAACAGTGGCAAATACTTTGCACCCAGTAGCCCTCAGCTCTCAAGGGGGTTGGGAAGTCACCTCCAGGGTGTCAAAAGCGGAACAGAGAGGGTGCAGTTCCACCCCCCAGCCACTGTACGGGAGGTTGGAGAGCTCCCATTTGGTAGAGGGGAGAGGGAGGCCCTGAGAGGCTGGGGAGTTTGCCCCGGGCCCCACAGCTTCCATTGTGGGAGCCGGTTGGGCACTGGCTTCAGGAGCTCCAAAGCACCTACCCCCACTCCTTCCATGCAGCGCCCGGCAAGTGGCGATTTTTCATGAGCTATTAATTATGAGGGCAAGATTCTCATGGTTCACCCCCCAGGCCCCCAGAAGATTCACATGAGGCTGTCTCTGTGGGGCATCTCTAATGTCCTGAGGATTGAAGCCAAATCTGGCCCTCCTAGCTGGGGATTTATTTTCTGTGCCTGAAAAAAAAAAAAAAAGAAAGAAAGAATGATGCTCTCTGCCAATTATTGAACCCTGGAGTTATGTGCCAGGGACTTTCCACACTTCTTATTTCAACTTCACACCAGCCTTCTGGGGGAGATCGTGTCCCCTCAGCAGATGAGGAGCCCAAGGCGCTAAGCGGGAAAGACCCCCCGCCCCCCGAGGCCGCACGGCCGGGTGGCGTGGAGGAAGCTTGAACCCAAACCCGGGTCTGGTGGCAACCTTCCCTCTGAGCGCTCTGCCACGTGGCACTCTCCTGCAACATCCTTATCTGACCTTCATTTGGGGAGCCAGGAGTGGCTGCGAGTCCTCTTCCCAGGCGGTATGACCCGGGGTGGAGCGAGGTCTGGGGCCAGCCCCCTCAGGAGCCTGGGGCGTGCCCACACTCGGGGAGGTGGGATGGCCCAGGAAGGGTGGGAGGGATGGAGACCTGTATCCTGACCCCTGAGCAACCTGGTAGCTGCAGACAGCTCTGTGTCACTGCGCTTTCACCCCATCAGACCTCCTAAATAATGACCCGTCTCCCTGCCTCCACCCCGACCCGGGCCCGTCTCTGTTTCCCCAGACAGTTGCTGTAGCCCCCCCCCCGGCCCCCCCCTCTCCTCACTTTTGTCCTCACTGCTACAATCTGTTCTCCATGCACTGGAATCATGTTTCTGGCCAGACCGTCTTTCTCCCCTGGGACCCTCCCAGGGCCCCCCCTTTGCTCCCAGGTAGCCCCCAGTCCCTGTCACAGCCTCCCAGGTCCCGCGCGGGTCTCCTGGAGTCTCCACATTTCAGCCACACAGGTCTCGTCTCCATTTCCAGAACCTAATCAGCTGGCTCCCCTTCGGGGCCTTTAGATGTGCTGTGCCTTTGCCTGGATTGCTGAGACCCCAGGTCACACAACTGCCTCATTCTTGGCTCAGATGCCACCTCCTCGGGGAGACCCTCCCTGCCTCCCCAGAGCTGATGCGCAACCCACGTTTCCCACATCCGGCCCACAGTCCAGTCCACACTGTGACCAAGCGAGCTTCCCAACCCGAACCTCAGCAGGTCCTCCGCCTCGTAGCTCTTCACTTCTTTGCCTGGATACCCCACAATTCCCAAATCCAAAGCCTGAATGAGGCTGCTGCTGCTCAAACCTCTTCCTCCTTCCCTCTTGCTGAGCTCTCCTTGCATCTTCAGCCCAGCCAGGCTCAACTCCTGCCGTTCCTCTCAGGGCCAGCCTGTGGGCCAGGGTGCAGCCTCGGGCAGGCTCCTTCTCTGTGGGCGCCATCCTGAGCCCTGTGGGGTGTTTAGCTGCACCCCTGGCCTCTAGCCACTAGTTGCCAGCAGCAACCCCCTCCCCAGTTGTAGCAACCAAAAATGTCTCCAGACATGGCCTCGTCCCTGGGGAAAGCCAAGTTGCCCTGGTTGGGAACCTCGGGTTCAGCTTTCGGGTTCAGCTTTCATCTGCACTGTTCCCTCTTTAGGGAGCGCTCCCTACCAGCCCTCCGTCCTCATCCTGTTCAGTCCTCTCTGTACTCAGGTCCCTTTTGATGCCACCCACAAGCTGCCTGCCCAGCCCCGGAAGGGTCAGGAGCCTTGTAAATGCTTCTACAATCTGTCATTGGACTCGATGATGCTGACCTGTCACTATCAGGTTGCCTGTTTGTCCCCTCAACTCTACCCTCCCCCTCGCCGGTCCCTCAGGACATCACCTCCACGAGGACAGGCTGTGTCTGCTTTCTCCCCAGTACCAAGCACAAGGCCTGACAGTCAGGGAGTCATTTGACAAATGTGCCCAAAGTCCACATAACATACATGTGCCAGGCACACTGAAGAGAATCAGCCACAGCTCCTCGGAGGGACACAGACACATCAGGAGGCAAATACATGTGGGGGACAAAGCTGCCGTGGGGGAAACAGAAGCATCTACCCCAAAACCTGGGACAGTGTTGTCAGGGTGGGCTTCCTGGGGGAGGTGATGTCTGAAAGGTGACATCTAGAGGTGAGAAGGATGAAAAGTAGTGTAGAACGATGGTTGTACAACGTTGCGAATGACCTGAATCTTGCTTGGGCCTTCACTTTGAAGCGTTTAATATGCTATGTGAATTTTACCTCCATTTTTTAAAAAAAGGAAAGGACAAAGAGTGCAGCCGGGGTTCTGGGTAGGGGAGGTTCTGTGGCGTGTGGGGCCTTTAGAAATTGCAAGTCGCAATCTGGTGCAGCCGCGGCCGGGAGAGGCTGGTGGGATATGGATGGTGGTGGCGAGACAGGAGGGCAGGGTGTGGGGGGGCTGTGACCAGGGTGAGTTGAGAGTCATGGAAAGTTGTAGGCAGAGGAGGGGCAGGAATGGCCTGGCTCTGTAGGATCCCTCTGGCACACGTGGAGAACAGGTGGTTGGCAGGTGAGGGTGGAAGCCAGGAGCACAGAGACCGAGGGAGAGGATGGTGGCCTGGCCCAGGCTGGCCATGGGGGTGAGGAAGGTGTGGTCCAACATGAAAGGTATTCGGGGTGTAGGACTGAGATGGTTTGTCTGCTGGGGTGAGAGAGGACCGTCAAGGACAATGACCCAGTGGCCTTGGCCAGTAACCCACTGAAGAGCATCCTCTTCGGGGGCAGATGCAGGGGCTCATCTCTGCCCCCAGGGGCTCTGCTTCCCCTCCAGCCCCGCCCCCCCAAATTTGGCTCTGGCTCTCCTACTTCTCCCGGTGTGACTCCTGGCCAGTTTCTCTCCAGGCCCTTTCCGGAGCATAGGTGAGGCCTCCTGTCTGGGAAGAGCAGATGGGAAACCACCAGCACAGGGAGAACCTTGAAGAACCTGTCCTGCCGGCTTCCCCACCCCTCCTGGGTGCTCAGCAGGTAGAGAGGACACCTGGGCCAGGCCTGAGCAAGAGGAGCCAGCCCAGCCAGCACGCCCTATGCCAGCCAGCCCTTTGCCCACCCAAGGGCCCCTTGGGGTCCAAACCTCCAACCCCAGAGACTGCAGCCCCAGGCCCAGCCTCCGTCTGAGCTCTGCACTCTGGCCAAGGTTCCCAGCCCTTGAAGATGAACAACCTTCCTTAGGAGAATAGCACAGGCTGGAGCCAGGGCGTGAGAGCAAATCCCAGCTCTGCCCTTTCTACTGTGTAGTGTTGGGCAAATGACTCAACCTCTCTGATGCCCAGAGAAAGAGGCCTGGTGAGGAGGTCACATGCCGTACATCTGGGGCTTTGCACATGCGGTGGGGCGAGGCCCACTACGCGAAGTGTAGCTGTTTCGTTTTTCTATTTGTTTGCTTGAATTAAGCAAACATTTCAATTTGTGCCCTCATTCTGCCAGCTTGGTGGAAACTTCATCGGGTGGCCCCACTTCTCCAGCCTTTCTCCTCTTCTCCTGGGCTCCCAGGCGTCTGTGAGGCCCGGGTGCTAGGACAGTAGTGAGAGCAGAATGGGGTGGGCTGGTTTCCACCAGGAGGCCCGTATGACCCGTGGCTGCTCCTCCCCACTGTCTGTGGCCTGGGGTCCTCTAGCTGTTCCCTGGCAGCCCCAGGGACTGACTGCAGGCCGCCTTTCCAGAACCCCAAGAAACTGTTTCTACCTGCAGTGTGGGCCATTTTGGGGTTCAGTCCAGGCCCAGGGCCTGCCACTCCCTGATCTGG